GCCAGAGAGCTAACCTGTATTTGTTCTTTTGTCCACCTAACACTTAGGCACTTCCTGCTGTGTTCCAAGTGCTGTGCTAAACATTCAAGGTCTAATGGTGACAAAATGGAACCATTCTTTCCTCAAAAAAGCTACAGTTTAGTAAAGGATAAAGACAAGTGAAAAAGCAATGAGAACGCAAAGGGTAACAGGTACAATACGGGCAGTGAGATGCCGTGGGATATGTGAGGAGCAAAATCCCGAATTTAGAGGTTGGAAGTGAGGGTAGGAAATGGCAGCTGAAGCCAACAGCAGGATGATGAGGAATCAGCCAAGTGGAAGCGGGTGGAGGAGGCAGAGAGATCGTTCAGAGCAGAGAAAATGTGGAACTTCTTGAGGAACTTGACCCGGTAAGGCTGCTAGAGTACCAGGGGTAAAGGATGAAGCTAGATTATGCAGGACCTTCTGAGTCTTATGGAGGAGTTTGAAAACTGAGAACCCATTGGAAGATTTTATGCATAGGAATGTTACAGCCAAACTCATTTTTAAAAGATCACCGACCACAGGATGCAAAATGAATTGGAGGCAAGACTAAGTCTAAAATGGGAAGAACCTATTGAGAGGGCTTCATGACAATTCTGGATGACAGTGGCCTGGAACACACCCGTGATCATTGGAACGGAAGGAAATGGAGAGTTTGAAGAGGGTAGAATGCAAGGCCTTGGTGTTACAACAGTGAGCTGGTAAAGTCAGGGTCTCGATAAAGGAGTTTGAAGGCATCCCTATAAGGATGCCATTATCCTGGTAAGTTTTATCATTAGTATCCAGGAAGATTGCCATTTCATGATTTCCTATCTTTTCCTTTTAAGCCAGTCGTTAAAGAGACACCAGTTGAAGCTTTGAGAATTAGTTCATTTCCCTCCACGTTCGTTAGTCCCCTAAAACCACTTCTTGGGCCCCAGAATCACTTTGCTCCTTTCCGCCCCCCCTCTCTTCTGCTCACTGTGCTCCCGAAGGCCTGAACAGGCTCTATTCCCATAGCATCTTGCTCTCAACCAACTGCGAAACAACCTGATCAAGTAAACCTCCACTTCAGGGCGACTAGGAATGCCTTCTCACGCGGTAATCCTCCTCTCAGCTGTTTGCATTTTAATGGAAGAGTAGTGCCTGAGGCCCAGTGGCCTTAAAAAATTAATCTCTGGTGATAAAATTCCTTTCACCCATTCAGGAAGATGGAAAAATATTAAGAGAAAACTTAGAAGTATTTCCGCTGCCCTTTAGACCACATTAGTATTTGGTTGACTGTCCTGCCTGGGAAGTCAGTACAGGCTTGTAGAGAAACCAAACAAATGTGAACAAACCCTGGGTTCCCAGAAACCTTTGCTAAATCACAGTTTAGTAGGCCCTACCTCAGCCGAGGCCACTTACGTTTCTTAGGATTCCATTTTTGATCACTAGCAACACACAATGGCCATGCATTTAAGGTAGAAAGTGGAGAGCTTTCAAAATAATGGATTTTTCTGCTCTGAAATACAGTCTACACAGCAGCCACTTTTCAATTCATCATGGTCTTGTAGCAAGATTACTGATTATAAAGTCTTGAAATGAATAGCCAGGGATGGAGAAAGTGTTGGAATCGGTATTTCTCTAACGATTTGGGGATTATTGGCCATTCATTTTCAACTATTTGTAATTGGAGTCTTGAAATAATGGAATTTATCAGAGGAATGCCTCATTCACCCTTGTATAATTTGAACATACTAAAATGGCACATGTGGACTCATAAATCGTTTGTGTGCACAAAGGGGTAATATATCACTCCACCCCTCATTCACTCAGGGCTGGGGGAGGGAAGGCATGGAAGTATGAGTTATAGCTTACTAGACAGGATCCCATAACTTCACGTCTTACATCTCCAAGAGGCTTTTTTAATGTAGCCTTTATATTATTTATACTTGCTGGTCATTCATGATAAAAGGCACTTTTATCATGAGGTTTTTTATCAGTTTTTTTTATTATTTATTTATCAAAACACACGCAAATGTTTTTGACAAAGTCACTTTCAGGCAAACAGATCATTGCTCCGGGCTAAGAGCAGCGAGCGGCCCTGTTGTCTACACAGACTGCTGAAATTAGGCATATTATTTCTAAAACCAGCCAGAAATGATAAACATGTTAAAATCAAATTAAATTGTTTTCTTTGTGGGGTAGTTTTATGTTTAAAGTGAACACACTGTGACTTTTTTATTAAAGCGATGACAAGAAATTCAGTTATTATTTTTAACCACTACGGAGTGCAGACATTGTGTTATAGAGACAAACATCTGCTTTATGGCATCAGTTCTCCCGAACTAACACCTTTTGCTGTTAGAATTATTTCTTACTCCAAGTCTTTGTTATGCTGATTGAAATCTCAATCTCTGGGGATTGGTACCGCACATATGTGAGCCTGGAACCTAGAATTTTCTGTGTTAAGGAATGTTTATAAAATATCGTAGATGCTGTATGGATATCAAATACTCATAAAAAATATTTCTTTTATATGGTTTACATTTGGGGTTCATTTCATGTGTTTAGATTTTCCATTTTATTCTCAAGATCTTCTAGTTCCTTGCCACTGAAAGTTTTGTCCTTAGACCAGCAGTATCAGTGTATCTTGGAAGCTTCCTTAGGAATGCAGATTCTCAGGTTCTACCCCACGCAACCTACCCCATCACCCCCAGCTACAGAACAAGAAACTACATTTTTTACAAGATCTCCGAGTCGTACATATGTACGCTAATACTTGAAAAGCCCTACTCTACATGGTTGTTGGATGAGAGTATTTTGAAGGAGACATGAATCATGAATGAATCTGAACAGGTTACTTAAGAAGCAGAATAATGTGTTCTAGGCATCGTATTAGCTTGATGTGTTTTACATGCATTATCTCCTATGGACAAAAGGAAAAGAGAAGAGTTTTTATTGAGGGTAGAGAAGTGACTTAGTAAATGTAGATATTCAGGAATATTCTACGTGGTTATTGTAGCCCAGAGAAAAGGGCTAAATCTAAAGTGGAAGTATTCAGGATAACAACAGGTATAGTTTATATGTGTGAGGAGTATAGACTGGTACAGAGATGATGGATACAGGAATGTTTTCTGAATGATAAGAGACAATGTTACAGGAATGGATTCAGCCAGCCAGGGAAGAGCGATTTGGAAGTGACACAGCTAATATTCTGGAAGCACATAATGGTGTTCACTCACCTTCTCACTTTTGAACAAAAATTAAAAGACTGGGTTGCATATTTACTTTATGTGTGAACATACATGTAAATAATATAAGTGCATGTTGCTTTTTGTGGATTCAAGTCTTTGCAGTGGATGATTCTTACAACCTTACCATTGGCATAGAAGTGTGTTACTTTCAGTGTATACTCATGAGTATTGACCTTTTTTCTTTAAGAATCATGGGCGGGGAATATAAATGGAGGAGAATATATTTAAGGATGAGAGAAACTAGTTTCTATTCTTGATTCTGACCCGATACTCACCATGATAACTGATAAGCCAAACTGTAACCATCTAGCCTGTTAACAGTATTGGCATTACTGGTATGTTTCATAGAAACTTTTTAATGGCATGCAAAACTTACTCTTAAGTGAAGGGCCTTCTGAAATATGGGAGAGTTGATAATGCATCTATTTGCTTTAGTTTTTTTAGGGACTCAGATCATCCTTATTCTAGTATTAACAATCTACAATTATAAGAGACAATAAACAATTTCCATTAATGTCATTAGAAGCCACTCCTATAATTCCACTGCTCTAGAAGTAAATAGAAAATGGCAAGTTACCTGGGTAGTAATATTATAGTTAACAGTTTGTATTAGTTATCTATTGCCTCATAACTAATTGTCCAAAAACTTAGCAGCTTAATGGAACAAACATTTACTATCCCACAGTGGGTCAGGAATCCGGCATGGTGCCTGTGACTCAAGGCTTGTCATGTGGTTGCAATCAAGCTGTTAGCTGGGGCTGCTATCTTATCTAAAGGGTCTATGTGTGGGATTTCATTCACAAGGTTATTATTGGCTAGCTTTGGTTCTTTATCACATGGGCCTTTCCATGGGCTGCTTTATGACATGGCAGCCGGCTTCCCACAGAGCAAGCCATGCAATGAGCTCAAGAGAGAGAAATCATACTCAGGATGGAAACCATGGTCTTTTTATAACCTAATCTTGAAAGTGACATTCCATTACTTCTGTCCATGAAACTGAATAGAAACTGACTGTTTCTATTCATTAAAAGCAAGCCAGTAAGTCCAGCCCATACTAAAGGAGGAGGATTACACACAAGGGTGAATATCAGGAGGTAGGTATCACTGCAGGCTGACCACAACTGGGTTTTTTGGGGTTTTTTTTGTGCTTCCATATTTTCTGACATGTCCATTGTGGACATGTATTTCTTATGTAATAAGGAAATAAAAATGTTAAAGGCAATAAAACTGAAGAGAAAATATTACTTTTTAAAGTTTTATTTATTTATTTGTTTGAGAGAGAGAGAGCGAGCATACAGGAGGAACAGAGAGAGAGAAAGAGAGAGGGAAAGAGAAAGAGAGAATCCCAAGCAGGCTCCTTGCTGCCAGCACAGAGCCCAACACGGGGCTCAAACTCACAAACTGTGAGATCATGACCTGAGCCGAAACCTAGAGTCAGATGTTTAACTGACTGAGCCACTCAGGGACCCCAAGAGAAAATATTCTTTTATCAGAAATGTTGATGAGAAAAGTAACTCTTGTTTGGAGTTTTCTTAGTAAGACATTTAATTGACTGAAGACCGGATTTATTAGCGCAACTTCCTGGTCGCGTGTTAGATCGTGCCATGAATCCACGTCTGAGATCGTGAACCTAACAGGGTTTCATATAGCTTTCAAATTTTTACACCGAAAAATTGAAATAGCAAGCGCCTCTGGTGGTAATATACATCCATCCGTCTTTCTCACTGCCTCACAGTCTTCTTCTTGCTCTGTTCTCAATAGCATGCTTGAGAGTTCGAACCGGCTCGATGAAGAACACAGACTGATCGCCAGGTACGCGGCAAGACTGGCAGCAGAGTCCGCTTCGTCTGTAAGTAGTTTGAGTGAGAGTCTGTCATGTTCACTGTTATCCTTACAGTTGGTGCGACGACAGCAAAGCTGAGAACTTGTTACTGTGTGACCTGCAGGACCTAAACATGAGCCTTCTACTTCTATTTTTCACCGTCCGGCTATGGGTCTGGTGTGGCATAAATCGTAGCTTTAGGTATTCTGTTACAACACTGCTGAACCAGCCCAACACCGGGTGTGTCTGGATAATTCCTGATCAGTTAAGAGAAAGAGGAATGACTCAAATCCACAACTGGCTCAGATAAGTTTCCACTTTTATCGATATGTAGTATATACAAGAAACAGAAAACTATGTACTGAAATCAGAGGAAAAACCTGGATCACAGCTCAAAGCTGCTGTTCGCTAGGCTTAGCTACGGGAAGTCATTTAGGATATAAAACATAGGACCCCGAATCCTTTGTTAGCAACACAAATCACTTCTTTGTTAAAAGAAATGCCAATTAAAAAATCATAGAAAAGCTTTATGAGAGCCAGACATTTACCAAGCTTAATCTTTCTATAGTCAGGTGTCTGGACATTAAAAAGCAGGCTGAGTTTTTTCATTTCTGGGGGCCTAGGCAATTGATGCCATTTTTAAAAGCTTGGCATTCTTTAGTGGAAAGATTAATTGTGATTTTTTTTTTAAATTTGTTTAAAAACCAATTGAGGAACTTCTAAAATGTACTGTAGAGCAAAGAAAGCAAAGCGCAGGGAACTATACATAATCTGACTCTGTTTTTATAAAAAATGACAAATTAAACCTTCATTAAATGCACACATACATGTACGTATATAAATACAGTATGTGATTACATGTATATACATATGTAAATGTACATACATATGTAAAAGTTGACTTTTATTTGGAAATATGAAAATCAATCTATCCTTGTTGTAAAAAATCTTCTTGGGGTACCTGGGTGGCTCAGTCGGTTAAATGTCCAACTTCAGCTGAAGTCATGATCTCACAGTTCATGAGTTTGAGTCCCGAGTCAGGCTTTGGAATCTGTGACTCCCTCTTTCTCTGCCCCTCTCCTACTCACACTATGTCTCTCTCTGTCTCTCAAAAAATAAATAAATGTTAAAAAAATTTTTTTTAAATCCTCTTGTAATTATTATCAATGTATTGTGTAAAAGAACTCATTTGATACAATAATACTTTGATTTTACAACAAAAAATACGTCTATAAATATACATATGTATATATGTATTTACATATAATCATAGGCCGTATTTATATATATGTATATATGTATGTATACTTAGTCAGGGAAATTTGCATATATATATAATTTGTTAAGATTAATTTCTGTGTATGTGTATATATATACGTATATATATATATATATGTATATATAGAGAGAGAGAGAGAGAAAGAGAATGGAGAAAGCTGTGACTGCATATACACTAGTTGTTAAAACATGACCAGGAGTGATGAGTGTTATGACATGAATGTGGAGGAAGGATGTATATATCCATTAATGTAAAATTACATACATGAATAAAGAAATGCTAATAAGTATGTTGACCAAAAGAAGAAAAGAAAATCCTATTAACTGTGATTTTCAAACCATGAAATTTTTTTATTGTGCGTTACAGTGATTGAACAGTAATTCTAGAGAGGTATCTCAACAGGGAAGTATTTTTTACACCCACCTACACTGAGAGAACTGTCACAGTGGGGACAGCACAGCAAGAATGAAATCGCTCCCAAAGACTTCAAGTCAGAAAGCTACAAGACTATGTCTTCTACGTTTTGTGTGTTTGCCTGCCAGAGAATTCTGTTCTGCTTCTGCTCGCAGAGGCGTCCCCCCAGATTCACAGAGAAGTCGGTCCTTAGGAGATGAATGGCAATTTCATGTATTTGCTTTTCCTGTTTCGATAGAAATAGTTTTTTTTCTTTCCTGTCTGCATATCTCGTGATTCCTGTCTCCTCACACACATGTGGGTTTCCATTCCCAATGTTAAACAGCATAAACCACATGTTTTACAGCAGCCGACACAGCAGAGAAGTGCTCCTGACATCTCCTTCACCATTGATGCAAATAAGCAACAGAGGCAGCTGATCGCAGAGCTAGAAAACAAGAACAGGTAAGGCTTTTTAGACATGCTGGCTTTTTTGATCAGAGTGTGTGTTCACTGGAAACTTACAGTTATGCTTTAAATTATCCAGGTTTTTCAGCTGTATGCATATTTAAAGGACGATGTCTTTAGTCAGTGATATTGGCGTCTGAGAAGCTCATCTTTAGATTTTAGATCTTCAAAAGCTTCATGAGAAAACATACATACAGTTCTGAGATACCAGTGCAATTAATGTTTCCTCTCTAGACAGTATCATTTCCCTTTTACTGACGTGCTTGTTTTTGTTGAAAGTTTATTTATTGTGAGAGAAAGAGAGAGAGTGGGAGCAGAGGGTGGGGCAGAGGGAGAGGGGAGAGAGAAAACCAAGCAGCCCCAACTTGGGGCTCTACCTCACTAACTGTGAGATCATGACCTGAGCCAAAATTAAGAGTAGGACGCTTAACTCGCCAAGCCACCCTGGTGCCCCAACACGCCTGTTTTTGTTAAGGAGCTGTCTCATTCAGAAGGGCCCTCCTGAGTGCCACCCAGAGACAAACAGAAGGCTCTTCTAAAAGAGGCATTTGGAAGTCGCCCGGGTGACTCAGTCAGTTAGCGTCCGACTCGTGGTTTTGGCTCAGCTCATGATCTCACGGTTTGTGAGTTCTAGCCCCACATCGGGCTCCGCGCTGGCAGAGTAGAGCCTGCTTAGGATCCCCTCTCCCTCTCTCTCTGCCCCTACCCTGCTTGTGCTCTCTCTTCCTCTCTCTCAAGATAAATAAACTTTTATTTTTTTATTTTTTTTTTCAACGTTTTATTTATTTTTGGGACAGAGAGAGACAGAGCATGAACGGGGGAGGGGCAGAGAGAGAGGGAGACACAGAATCGGAAACAGGCTCCAGGCTCTGAGCCATCAGCCCAGAGCCTGACGCGGGGCTCGAACTCACGGACCGCGAGATCGTGACCTGGCTGAAGTCGGATGCTTAACCAACTGCGCCACCCAGGCGCCCCAAGATAAATAAACTTTTAAATAAGCAAATCAGGCATTTGGGCTGACACCACTGTCCCCCAGTTGTTGGAGCCAACTGTGTTTATTCGACACAGACTGATTCTCAGCCGACCCCCACAACATATCCCAGACTGTCCACTCCATTTCCACCATTAGCAGCAGCCCCACCTGTCACTGTGTAAAACACAAGTCATATCATGTTATTTTATGTTCAAAACCCTCTGATGGGTTTCTGTCACACTTCGACTGAAACCTACCCTTCTTACCGTGGTCTGTAAGGTCTAACCTGGGCTGATGCCTGCCTACCTTGCCAGCCTCCGCAAATCCTGCTCAGTGTGCTCCTGCTCACCTCTTTCCTTGCAGCCTGTGTACTAGCTGTTCTCTCAGTTTAGGGCGCTCTTCCTTAGGGTCGCTGCATGGGCAGGCCCTTCTCATCATTCAGGTCTTACCTCACAAGTCCTCCTGTCGAATCGTTCCCACTACCTCCTGCGCCAGGAACCGCTCTCTATCACAGCTCCTGGTATGCGTGTGAGACATCATTATCTGAAATAATTGCATCTATGTGTCTGTTTCCTTCTTCCCTGACTGAAATGGAAGTTCTTTAAGAACAGAGGCCATGCCAAAGGGCCTCTGGGTTCTAGGCCCATGGTTAGGATGTTGCAGAAGCTCAGTAAATATATACTGAGTGAGAAAAATAATTAATTTCAGAGTTAGATCTCAAACTCAATACTGAGTAGGTCCAGCATGGGAGCAATGTGTACATTCTAGATCTCTTAGAAGAGCACCAAACTGTCTTAACACTGAATCCCAATCTTTTTTTAATTTTTTTTAATGTTTATGTTTGAGAGAGACAGAGAAACAGAGCATGAGTAGGGGAGGGGCAGAGAGAAAGAGGGAGACATAGAATCCAAAGCAGGCTCCAGGCTCTGAGCTGTCAGCACGGAGCCCGACGTGGGGCTTGAACTCATGAGCCATGAGATCATGACCCGAGCGGAAGTCGGATGCTTAACCAACCGAGGCACCCAGGGGCCCCCACTGAATCCCATTCTTAAACACTGATGTCACTTCTGAGATCAAACTGAATAAAGGAGGAGGTCCTGATCCTTGTTTCATGCCTATAGAGTTTGACATGAGAATTTAGGGATAAATGGTCAAAGTGTTTTTTAACGTTCTATGATAAAAATTAAAAAGAAGGTGCAGACTTGGTTGGCATATTTTCCGGTTCTTAGAAAGAGAAAAAGACTACAGTGAAAACTCTCAAGCCCACAAATACCTTACCTTGGTTGCACCGTGTACCTGCTCTCCTACCTCTCCAAAGCACTTTATTTTCCCTTCAAATCCTCTGCTTCCACTCAGCATGAGGTGAAATCAGGACCTCCTTTAAGGAAATACCCCAGTGACATCGGCCCCCATGCGGAATTCCAGAATCAGCTAGGAGCACCATGGATGTTCCAATGGCCCCAGCTATGCTGTGCTACCAGTCTTACTGCTTGTTTCCAAGACGTTTCTGGATGTTGTACTCTGAATGCGTGTTTGTAGGACCAGAGAGAGAATAAAGAAATGGGACTGAGAAGAGATGGCAGAAAGAGAAGTTTGTCCTGTCTCTTAGTCCTTTCGTGGCCCACAGAGTTCCCCACACCATGCCTGAAGAGCATCTAGTCCATCCTGAACTCATTTGTCTAAACCGGTGGCTTCATGCCCTCCAAGGACCCCAGAACCACGTCCCAGAAGCTTATCCAGGTCAACTTCTGCACTGTAGGAATTCGCCCTAGGAATCCCATGGTCTCCAAGGTGACAATGAACCCACTAATCAGATCTCCGAGCTTCAGGGGAGGTTAGAGTTCCTCACTTCACTCCATGACTACTCTGGGTGATTCATGGACTTTTCAGCCATGATCGTTAGAAGATAATGCTTCCTCATAGCACACTTGGAAGAACTAATTGGGATTGGTATTAGGAGTAGCAGTACTCTTTGCATTATATGACATAAATCACAGCCTGCATAGGCTAAACCTGTCAGAGCAAACACCAAAGACAGAGGGAGTCAGATATCCATGGCCTCTGGAGCTAACCGCCTGGGTTCAAATCACCTCTACCACCTACTTGTTATTGAACTTGGGCAAGTCTTCTAACTGGCCTGTGCTTTGATTTCCTTATTCATGAAACAGATAATAGCAGGACCTATATACAATTTTTATGAGGATTCAATAAAAGAAGATTAAAGAGGAGAGCATAGTTCCTGGGGAGAGGCTAAGAACTCAGTACTCTTTACAGATCTTACCATAATTTTTCTTATCAGAGCTGCTTCTCTCTTTTCCTTCCTTAAGCTAAATGCTGCGTCATGGTTCTGTCCTTGGAACTGACAAGGAGAACAAGTGGGAGTCATAGAATGTCAGGATGTTAGTCCTGGCGGAGAACTTTGAAATCTCGGCTTTACTGATTTTCAGGCCCTGTGGGACCTGGGGTCTCTATAGAGGTCTGAAGAAGGCGAAGAAGGGCTTTCTCTCACCAGAACAGGCTCCCTTTTAACCATTTGACATACTGAGTTTCCATAGAAAATTTGTCTTAAAGTTTTCCACCAGGGAATGCCAAAGGGGGACAGAAAAAGGTGGAAAACCCCTGAATTATAGTTCAGTCTCCTCACTATACCCGTGAGAGAGGTAGTAACGAATAATGAGCTTCTTAATGCTGGTGTGTTTATGAAGCAGGCAGTTGTAAATCAGCCGTTCGGATGGAAAGCCATCGCCCTTGCTCACCAAGTTCACCTTCCATTCCTTATTCCTTAGTGCTTTGTTCTTATTGTCTGTCTCTTGTGCGTTTTGCTGGATGGAAGCCTGACCCCTCCCCCAAGAATATGTGTCTTGTAACCTTGCTTAATGGCTTCAAACTCACTTAGGGATAATTTGCCTTGCATAGGTCACCTATCCTTTATGGCGGCCTAATGTTCACCTCAGTGCGGGGCAGCCCAGGCTCCGACATCAATAATAGACTGACACATCTCACCCCTGACAGGGGTCACGCCAATAGCACTCTTATGTCACACACTCAATTACAGTGAATCCTTTTAAAAGCACTTTCCTTCCAAGGCTACCCTCGTTGAGATCCATTGTTGAGGCTGAAAATGGTAAGAATAAGAAAAAAATTTTTGGCCTAACCGGGGGCTTCTCCGATAAATTCAGTGAGGGGAATGTCATTCCCGGTGAGAGAATGGGGTTATTTAGTTTTGTGAAATGAGCACCATTTATCCTGTTTTCCCTCCAAGCACCTCTTAGCCGGTAGCTGCAATGACTTGATGGTGTCAGGCTGTGATCAGAAATAATCGGAAGATATATTTTTGCTCCTAAGCAGCACACTTTTCAAAGTTGAACACGTTACCGCAGTATTATGTTACTTAGTAGAGCGATTATCAGGTCCTGGTGAGAACACTCAGCTTGAAGTCTCCAACAACATACTGTAGAGTTTGAATGTGCTGGGGCTGAGGTCAGCCTTCCGCTGTCCGTAGCACCCATCTAGCTACAGCCAGTCCCTCATAAACACTGTTGGGTAGTGAGACTTTCTTCTGCTCCCAAACATAGGGTGACCGCCCCCCTCGGATGTTAGCATCCTGGATATCCTGGAAGTTAACTGACCCTAGTTTCTTACCTTCTTCCTCTCTCCCAAGAGAAATCTTACAGGAGATCCAGAGGCTGCGGCTAGAGCATGAACAAGCTTCTCAGCCCACTCCAGAGAAGGCACAGCAAAACCCCACTCTGCTGGCAGAACTCCGGCTCCTCAGGTAAGAGAGGAGCCCAAGGCCTCTTGGCAAATGCAAGTGACTGGGATCTTCCAAAAGTCTAACGGCGTCCAGCCAGAAAACAGTCCTTAGCCACCATAGCTGCTGACATGCTTGCTGTTTCTTTTTAAAAAAAAAAAAATTTTTTAATGTTTATTTATTTTTGAGGGAGAGAGAGTGGGGGGTGGTGCAGAGAGAGAGGGGGAGACACAGAATCTAAAGCAGGCTCCAGGCTCTGAGTTGTGAGCACAGAGCCCACCATGGGGCTCAAACTCACAAACCACGAGATCATGACCTGAGCTGAAGTCAGACACTTAACTGACCGAGCCCCCCAGACACCCCTGTTTCTTTTTTAATAGCACAGGCCTATTCACTGAGATTTGGGGGTTTTAAGGAGCTGCTGTGTATATTTTATTCTTTCATGTGACACAGTGAAGGGGAAACAGCATTCTTTACAAGCAAAATCTCTCACTGAAAAAAATTTGAACTCAGCTCTTTTCTAGTTATTTGCACTATCGACAATGTGTTTATGATACAAGTGATCAACGCAACAAACACAGAAACAGCTAAATAAACATCACAGGCTTTTACATTTAAAAATTTACCTGTAACCCACAAAAAAGGAGTCTGATTTTCTCTCAATCTTGGTCCGTAAAAGCTTCACATGCAGACCTTAAAAAATAGACCTCATACCTTCTTGTTCTGCTAATGAATTAAAACACCTGCTGTTGTCTAGTCCGACACCATAAGACATTTGAGTCTGAAAGGCCCTTAGAAGGTTCCACCCTTGAATTTCAGTGCACTTTTCAGAGTCAGGAAGGTAGAGAATAGCACATGCTGTGCTCATGTGCAAAAGGCTGGGGGGTGGCTGTGGGCTTCACCTCAGACCGGCTTAGCACCATGCCTTGAAATATGACACATACTCAAACCTAGGTGTGTAGCAAACAGCACAAACATAAATTCAAAGGCATTGCTTCATAGGAATGTCCTATTTCACAAGGCACTTTTAGTTGTTAGCAGATAGGACATTCTTTCCATCTTCCAGTTTTGGTGCCAGATTCCAGGTATATCTTACTCTGAGGGACGCTTTTTATAGCAAGTACAGATGCCTCTTCTCAGAAACCCTTGTCATCATTAAAGTGCCATTAACTTCTTCCAGACAAAATGACTAAATTAAGCAGGTTCTGGATGGTTATGTTTGGATTTTACCAAGTTCCTATTGATTGTAGTCATGGATGTTTCCGGGGGTTCCATCCCAGCCCTGCTCTTCAGACACACGCATGACGAGGCACCACAGCACATCTGGCCCAGGCTGCAGGCCCTGCCTGCTCTCAGGGAGGCCCCATTCTCCCTCTCTCCAGGCCTGTGCACCTGCCTAGACGGCAGAGCCACCAAAGGCATGAGTTATGGAAAGGAGATCTATGGAACCGGCAACTTGTGGGGGCTGCTTGATGTGAAAGGATCATGTCATACTTTCGAAAAACTAAAGAATTTAGTGGAAGAAACAGAAATCCTTCCTTTTCAAACTATATAATCTCTGGTCCTTTCTTCAGGGAGATGTATTAGAAGTCCTTGCATGTTCTACTACACGTCACCCAGGTGGGATGAAAGTGGAAAGAAGGAAAAGGTGACATTCTATATCATTATCCTCAAAGGCATATAAAAGTAAATGCCTGCTCGAAAGAAAATTTGCCTACTAGGACTATGTAGGCCCTCCCAGCTCACAAGCTGTGAGTCGAACTTACACAGAAACATAACTGAATAAACCAATTTGGAAATGGAGTAATCATTCATCTCCACATCTACCTTGTCTCCTGAAATGTTCTTTATGCCTCTTCCATTGAGTGTCCCACTCTCTGTTGGAGGGATGATGACTAGGACTTTTTCATAAACATTTTCATCAGATCACCTGTTAGCATTTGCTTTCGAAAGTATTTGGTTCCATTTGGGTGATGCCGTCCAGGAAGGCTTCTTGATGTGCCTGGGTCACTGATGATAGTTTTCCAACTGATACGTCTTCCCTCCTTGGCACTGCTATCTTGGAATAGACTGATAGTTCTAACCACCCTCCTGGCCCTGACTTGTGGGCATTCCCATATCCCCAGCTGAGCCCAAACCCATGCTAAGGAGTCTGTCTCTGTGAAAAACTTCAGTGTTTTGGGTGCTCCCTGTCAGCCGGTGGCCCACGCCTGAAGCTAGAGGCCTGAGGCCTGAGACACCTAAATCCCAACTGCCTCCATATTCTACACATTTCTTCTACCTTGAAGAAGAAGGAATGCCCTCCCTTAAAGGCTATTTCTCTAGATCCTTATAAGCCATTAATTCTCTGGTAAGCATTTTCGTGAGTTGGAGATTTCACAGATACCCTGACATCCTAGGTCAAGAAACTTGCTTTGGGTATTCTAACTTTTATCCTTTAGTCATTTCAGACTCCAAAACAATGGCTTCTTGCACACTTTGGCCTTTGTTCACACTGAGGAGTGGCCACATGCAGCAGCCACAGGAACTCCTTGGACAGAGATCTTCTCCGTCCATTACAACCTTCTGGTGCCTCTTATTGAGAAACCAACAGGAGAAATTTCTTCCAGCTGCGGAATGGACGAGGGGAGACAGGAGCAGAGCTCAGCTTTTCATTAATGCAGTTCATTTTTATCTTAAGAGCACTATGACCTTTCTAAATAATCACATTTTCCTTTTTACATCAGCCACAAGAAAGCTGAAAGCCAAGTTTGCAACCCAGATCTGACAACCAAGTGGGGTTATATGATAGGCATTTCCGTGTGCTAATCTGACGCTCCCTAGGCACTAAACTCTATAATACACTGTCCCGGGTAATTGCTGTAACAAACCCAGGAGATAGACACTATTATTGTACTCTTTTTATAGATATGGAAACTGAGATTCACAGAAGTTAAATAATTTGCCCAAGATCCCACACAATGAGTAGCACATGTGGATTCCATCTCCTTTTCTTGGGTCTTAGTTATCTCCTGCTGGACTGTTATTACTCACTTAATTGATTTCCTGGCCCCTGACCCATCTACACTACTATCAGATTTATCACCCCTCATTTTATTATTCATTTAGTTCATTCAGCAAATATTTCTAAAACGCAGGATGCCCACAGTTGAATTGAAAAAGATACTGTCCTGGTCCCACAGAATGTGTGGTCCAGTAGGAAAATGACATACATCAAATAAGCACACAAATGAGAATATAGTTACAAACTGAGATAAGGACTATTAGGAGTCTTGCTTTTAAATAGAGACATTATAATAATTAAGATCAGAGCAGAAATAAACAATATAGAATCTAAAAAAACTGTAGAGCAGATCAATGAAACCAAGAGTTGGTTTTTTGAAAAAATAAATAGAGACATTATAATCCAACCTGCCCTTCACTGTGGTCAAAGAAGGTTACCATGAAGAGGGATTGTTTGAGTTGAAGGATGAAGGATGAATGGGAACAGGGATTAAGGGTGGCAGAGGGGCTAAAACAGCAGTAAAAGGGTCTCCTGGAAGATAGAGGCCATAGGTCCAAAACCAAATGGCAGGAGCAAACGTGGCACTTTTTTAGGAAATGAAAGGTCTCTAGACCTAGAATGCAGTGAATGAAAGGGTGTACGGAAAGAGATGGAGCTGACGATGTAGGTAGGGGTAGACGGTGACACTGTGTGGCCTTACAGACCTTCTCAAGGATATTGCTGTTAATCTGACAATAGAAGCCATAGAAGGGGGAAGAACTGCATGTCCAGTCCACACAGCAGATTACAATGTAAAGTCAGGTTCACATGAATCAGAGCTCTTACTCCAGCATGGAGATTTGCTAGTAACTTCAAGAATACAGGCAACCAAGAGGCACCGATAAAGCAGAGAAAGGTCTGGAACATTCCACATAGTTCCTGAGGTCTTTCCTTTTCTACATTGGGTGGAGTTTTGGAGGGAGTTTTGCAAGGTTATCTAGCAAGCCTTCCTTAAATTTTTACCACCATATGGAACTGGACGTCTTCTTCAGAGTTACCACTGAAGTGCAGCAATTTGTTCATATTTTTATTGTACGCTCACCATCGTCGTCTTGAACTTCTTTCTCCTCCTCTTTCGCTCAAGGACAAAAACTGTATCCTACTCATTATTTTATTTACAGTGTCTTAAAAGTGCCAGATGGATGGCATGAATGGATAAGCTGCAAAACGATTAAGAGATAGCTAAAGAACTGTGTTTGCAAAGACAATACCATCTTCTAGGATAAAACATTTATTTAAAACTGTGAAGGAACTAACTTCACACCACAAATCTCAAAGAGGAAAAAAAGTATAATTTCCATATCTATACCTTGCAAAAAAAATAAACACTTTATTTTATACCCCCGAAATTACATTCTTATCAATGTGTATAAAATTATTTTTCAAGAAAACTTGCGGGACGCCTGGGTGGCTCAGTCGGTTAAGCATCCGACTTCAGCTCAGGTCATGATCTCACGGTTTGTGAGTTCGGGCCCCGCGTTGGGCTCTGTACTGACAGCTCAGAGCCTGGAGCCTCTTCCAGATTCTATGTCTCCCTCTCTCTCTGTCCCTCCTCTGCTCATGCTCTGTCTCTCTCTATCAAAAATAAATAAAATGTAAAACAACAACAACAACAACTTGCTAATTAAGGTAACTTTGTGTTCTATTAATTAAAAATGAAAGTGTAACCTCTGGTGTAAGTCAGTGGTTTCCAGAGTTGAATTTAATAGACCAGCTTAATTTTTAAATTATTTTTGGGAAATAACATAAAGCTGAATACTTTTTGTTTTACCATATGATGATACATTTTTTTTAAGTTTATTTATTTTGAGAGAGAGAGCAGCGGTGGGGCAGAGAGAGAGGGCAGGGGAGGGAGCAGAAAGAGAGGGGGAGAGAGAGAATCCCAAGCAGGCTCTGCACTGTCAGCATGGAGCCCGATGCAAGGCTCCACATCATGAACTGTGAGATCATGACCTGAGCCAAAACCAACAGCTGGATGCTCAGTTGACTAAGTCACCCCTATAGGGATATATTTTTAAAATTACCATCATCTCTTATCATAACAGTTTCATGAATGACAGTATATTTTTTTAACTTTTTATTTTGAAAAAATTTAAGAGTTGTAAGAAAATCACAATGGATGTCCTTATATACTTCACCTAGAGATAACAAACATATTACTACACCCTTCTCTATCTCCCTATATGTTTATATATATATATGTATATATGTATATATATGTATATATGTATATATATAGCATACATATTTTTGATGAGTCATTTTGAGAGTAAGTTGCAGACATCATAACCCTTTACCACTAAGTATTACTGTGTATATTTCCTATGTAAAAATGTATTGTCTTACATAACCATGGCACCATCATCAAATTCAGAAAAGTTGATATTATTGTCTCATATATGATCTATATTAAAATTTTTCCTGTTGTCCCAATATTGTCCTAAGAGAAAATAGGTTTTAAGGTACATTCATGGGGCACCTGGGGGGTTCCGTCAGTCGGCCAAGCATTCAACTTCAGCTCAGGTCATGATCTCACGGCTGGTGAGTTTAAGCCCCACATCAGTCTCTGCTGACAGCTCGGAGCCTGGAACCTGCTTCAGATTCTGTGTCTCCCTCTCTCTCTGCCCCTCCCCCACTCACACTCCATCTATCTCTCTCAAAAATAAACATTAAAATATATATATATATCATATATATTATTTAAAAAACACACGCAAAATTAGAAATTATCAGGCAGAATCTCAAAATAAAAGACATTCCTTTTACAGAGGTATACATTTAGCTCTATGAAAATAAAATCACTACTTAGTCCTTGTTTTCTTGTTCCCACTTGGAACCATGGAAGCTACACCACAAATTTGTTAATCAGACCCCCGTTTGGTAGCCACTTATAGAGAAGATTAAATAAAGACATTATTACATGAAATTCTTTTTTTTTTAATTTTTTTTTTAATGTTTATTCATTCCTGAGAGAGACAGAGACAGAGTATGAGCAGGGAAGGGGCAGAGAGAGAGGGAGACACAGAATCCGGAGCAGGCTCCAGGCTCTGAGCTGTCAGCACAGAGCCTGACGCGGGGCCCGAACTCACAAACCGCGAGATCATGACCAGAGCCCAAGTCGGACGCTCAACCAACTGGGCCACCCAGGCGCCCCATGAAATTCTTTTAATTGAATTTAATCAATGCATGAAAGAGTAGATGTCATGTTTTGAAAGATTACTACTTATAAGAAAACTGTACAAACAAGTTTTTTTAATTGTTGATTAATTCTAAATTAATACCAGTTAACTTTTCCGCATAGTTTTTAGATGCCTACCTTAGTATTTTTTACCTACAATATTAGAATTTACTGCAACCCTCTTCGCAAAGTGCTCCTATGACCAAAAGTCCAAAAATTACAAAGCAGTATCTAGAAGAAGACTGGAAATACGTCAGAAACATTATGCTTCTACCAACCCCTACCATGGATATATTTGGGACACCATGTGCAGACAAGGTCAAAGATAAAACAGCTAGTGGATTTGTCATTGACGAATATTTTTGAATGGAGTTAAGACTTTCAAAATTAGAATGTTGCAGCCCGGGAAGACAAAGACTAAAATAAGGTACCATTAAAATCTATAAAATCATGATGTGCCTTGTCCTTCAGGATTCACAAAAGAGGCAATTGTAAAAGAAAAAGGAAGGAATGTTCTGGGAGTAAGTAAGCCTTGAATGGCAATAAAAGCCAAAAATATAAATATATTCAAAAAGCGTTGAGGTACGTTTATAAATTTTAAATTCATAATTCATTAGAGAAACCTGAATCAAAGCAAATTCGGAATGTTTCATTTATATCCATAACCTGTGCTCCCCACAAAATATCTTTCAAGTGGATGAGTCATTGACCTAAGTCAGTGTGACATTTTCATACTGTCAGTTTTTCATTTCAGAGTCTCTGCTACAGTGCCACTTAATCTTATGCCTGTGCCATTGAGACTAGGCACATCCATTCATACATTAACACATGGTTAAAGCAGTCACACATTTTTAAAATATAAGTTCCAATATCTCAAACTCAGACAGAAGCCTTTGGGGCACGGGGAAAAAATTGTGTATATTATTCACTAATGATCATGAAATAATAGATTTGAAATTGACTTGAAAAGTACACACATACATCAGAAATCCGAACCATTAATATTCTTCTCCATACTGTTTCATTTCTTTTCCCTCTTTTAAAGATATTCTTGGTACCTCTCAGTGTCAATATAAATGATGGAGTATAGATTGTCTTTTGTGGTTTCCATTCTTGCTGACAGTTTAATAGAAGTTCTGCAAAACAAACAAAATTAAACAAACACAAATCTTATAGGTTATTTTCAGTTGGAACAATTCTGTAGGAACTCCTATAAAGTCAAACCCAAACCAGAAAACTTCAGTTGACTATAAAAACTCTGTACTATGAATATTTCACCTCTGAAAGGTACCATATTGCATACTAAGAATGGAAGAAATGAAAAATAAACTTTCAAACTCCAATTTCCAAATACTAGGGTAATCAGTATGCCCTTTGAGATTTACAGAAGCGTCCTTGGTTTTGGAAGATCTGTGGGATTGACCTTTTTCGGTGACAGTTTGGTTTCTGTTTGTCTTAAGGGAGCCCAATGGCATCGCACAAGGCCCAGGACATACTAAGCATTCAGAAAAGATTTCATTGACTGGTTAATTCAGGATAGAAGGGGGAGTATATCCAAGAGGATTTTAATTCATCTGTGTTTTGGTATGACTTCTAACAAACAAATGTACTTCTAACAAACAAATGACTTCTAACAAACAAACAAACCTCAAGCTATAACTGTTCGTTCATTTGACATTTCCCTGCCTGGAAACCACATCAGAGATCAGAGATGCCCTTTTTCTGGCGGTCTGCTAGTGTCACAAGACTTGGAAGTGTGATCAGCTCAGTGGGTTGAATGCTGTTCTGATGATGACTACTTCTTTCTTAGACAGCGCAAGGACGAGCTGGAACAGAGAATGTCTGCTCTCCAGGAGAGCCGGAGAGAGCTAATGGTCCAGTTAGAAGGTCTCATGAAGCTACTAAAGGTAAGACATTTCAAATAAATATTTCCTAGACCTGTGACTATGGCATTTGTAAAAATCGTTCACACATAATGTGCAATGATTTCTCCAATTACTGTATGTGATTTTCCCCCAAATACGGCTTCAGTCCCAGATATAGGATCTTTTCTTAGATATGTCCAAGATAGCAGTCAGTTATCAGGCTCATTCTTATCCATTTCCTGGAACCAGACTACTAAGGACCCTCAAAGGACAACTTCTTGGCTTATTTCCAGTTCCTATGTCCTTGAAAGTACTAAAACTGGATTTATTCAGGAATATTGTACATTTAATAGCTTCGGAAGTTCTGAATAAAGTGAGCAGAAGCTAATGCTTCTGCAAGATGAAGATATAGCCATAATTTTGGAGATTATAGTTTTATTAAGAGGAGTAACTAACTGATCATTTCAGTGAAGTATTTTCTCTCATCTGTGAGGCTTTAGCAGCAAGTCACGTAACTTCCATGACTCTCAAGTACAAACTGTAAACAGGAATACCCCCTTAGCTCTCTGCAGGTAGAGTGTTTAATAAGATGATCTAGGGAAGTCCTCTGCAGAGCGCTGTAACCTGTTAGTCTCACTGGGAAGTGGCCTTCTCCGTTTCATAAACCCCTACCCCCTTCTTCAGTATATACTAAATCACGTGTCAAGTCACAAGTAGGCTAATTATGGTCACATGGCCACAGTCAGCCCAGGAGAGGTGTCAGTGCTAGGTGGTCATCCCGCCTGAGGTAGACAAGCAGAAACCACTGCAGATTGGAACTGTGATATGCCAAAGGCGGGAACTGATACTGAAACTTGCCCGGTCCCTGGGGCAGCTCATCTGTGAGACAGACGTCCATCCTTTCAGTCCCCGGATCCCTCGCATCCCCGACACACCATCATTTACTGTTTCGCCCTTCCTCTTTTTCTGTCTTTCCTTTTTTTTCTTTTCTTTTTTCATTGCTTTCTTTCTCTCTTCCTTCCTCCTTCCTATCTTTCTTTTATGTATTTAACAAATATTTGTTGAAACCTACTGTGTCCTAGCACTGGGCACACACTTACATATAAGTGCAACACTTCCTTCTTTGGTTTCCTTTGGTCTTTTTTTTTTTTTCCCCCTTAGACAACTTTTCCTGCCATCAGTGTTGGGAATGCTTTATCTTCACTAAACAAAATTTACTTTTCAGTATATTAGCCATTTAAGTGTAGAACTCAGTTTTTGTTGTACTATATATATTGAGACAGGCCTGGATAATGGATAACCTCTCACTGTTTCTGCCCTGTTGTCTCATTTGATGATCCAGAAAAGCTCTTTCAGCTTTCCTTTTCAAATAGACCAAATGAAGAGGGTCGATCTCATCTTTCCCTTCACTGAATGACAGGAAACCTTGAAAATAGCCCACTGCTTATATTCCTATAGCTTCTGTCACCACAGCAATGGGGTGGGGGTGGGGGTGGGGGTGGGGGGGTTCTATTTACTGTCAGCCATCTTGGCATCGACCTGGCCTAACCCAGCACAGTCTGTTCTATCAGGATGTATAAACAGCAGGCTAGAGGGATAGATCGTGTGGAAAGGTGGATGGACATAGGAAGGAATGAGATGGGCTGTAGTCTCACATACCTAAATAGACCTGGGACTAAAGTCACTGAGGTAGGAGAGTCCGCCACCGAAGCCGTGTTGATGTTTCCCCCATCTTGCATTCCCTCACACTGTGTACGCATTCTGCCTGGAACCCTGGGTAACCTAACTGTTATTGATTCAATCTTTCTGTAGGAAGAAGAACTGAAGCAGGGAGTAAGTTATGTTCCCTACTGCAGGTCTTAACTAACTATGGAGGGGCCTGCCATCCTGCCGTTTTTCCCATTGCTTTTGCCTCTAATGTCTGTTCACGCTTCAGTTTGGAAAGAGAACAAAAATCATACTAATTTGCTTCCTTTTCAATGTAGTGCTTGAATTGAGACATATAAAATTTAGCTTTTTTTTTTTTAATAACTGTTACTACTGTGGGCATCAAAAGAAGAGCCGTTGCACCTTTTAGAAGAGGGGGAAAAAATCATAATGTGTTGGAGACTTTTTACAGCTCCAGGGGTCTAAGTTTCCAACCAGTCTCATGCTTTTCTGGGTTATTGATCAGACCCGTCTCTGAACAGAGACACCCACTCTGGCCACTAAAGCTACATACAGCACTCAAGCTAACCTCTCTGCATCCTCTCATTTAGTTCAGTTTCCATTTTACTGGAAAGGCGTGTGACCTCTTTGTACAAAAGTCAGCCAGTTACATCTGTTTTCATTGCATAATTACTAAGCTCTGTTCCCCCCTGGTCACCAAAATGGGTTCAGTCCAGGAGAAACACTGTCCTCAGTATCTGCTCATTTCCCATTGTTTAGTTCTTGAGAACGGAATCCCTACCACTGGTTCGTAATAATCTCAAAAGAATGGGTAACTTTCAGCCCCTCTCTTATCACCAAGAACCTCTCTGCTCCGGGAGTTCACGAGGCCCTTGCATACATCTTCTCTGGAAGCAGGAACACTGTGATTCTCTAACTGTAGTCGCTCAACTGGAACCCTGTGTCTGACCCTGTGGTCCGGTTCAGAGCCATGAGAGGGAGTAGCCTACTCGAAACATAACAATAACAAAACAGAAGCAAAAGAACAGCAACTTTAATTTCAGGTGCACGTACCAAACCGTGTATGACGCTATATCCCATTTGCTGGTATCACCAGGAAGTTTCACATCATTTCCATGGATCGATTAGAACCACAGCCTGTCCAATTTCAACGTACCTTTTATTCTTCTGTATTCTCTTTCCTGTTATTCATTGTGTGTGTTTGTGTGTAACAACGAACGTTTGCAAAATGCTGGACACAGTTTTACCCTTCCTTCCCACGGTCTGTAAAAAAGGAAAGTGTAAAACTAATCTGTAATGTCAGACAATAAAGACAATGTATTACACTATTTTGTATTTTGTGAAAAAAGTTGCTTTACTAAAGTCAAATTTTAATGAGAGACAGTCCCCCTTGGTGAAGGACGCACATTTATAGCCTAATTGCCCATAAAGGCATACACGGGGCATTGCTATTGTAGTTCCAGCGCACTTAGATCATGGTAGAGAAAAATGCCTTGCTGTGCTGCTTCTCTGTGCAAACAGCCTCTTTCCTTTCCTGTCTCTTACTTAGCATGTGCACAGAAAAAAGGGGAAAAAAGCTCAAATATAACCTCACACCTAGTGGAGAGAGGGCAATCATCCTATAGTCCATTAGCCTTGCTGAGCCATCTCCCTCAGGGGCCCATTTCCCACCATTCCCCAGGCCACACATTCTTGAAAGGCTGTGTGGACCAGGAAGTTCATAAACCCATGGCTGCAAACAGCCAAACCATGGCAGCACCCATAGAGCATTACTGCCTCCTTTCCTTCCAGCTCCTCCCACGGAGCCCTCAACAGTGGCCGCATCTCTGAAAGTCAGCCCTCAGCTGGGTACCGCTGCCTAGGTTCTAACGGGCCATCATCGGGAACGCTCAGATATCAGCAATGCGATGTCTGGGTGGGGAGAGAATTTGCTTGTCTTACTCATTTATTGATGTGCTTGTATAGTCAAGCCTCTTTTCCAAAAGGACCCAAGGCAGCTCCCAACAAAAGACATCAGCAATGACTTCATAAAATAAATATAGAAAGATCAGAAACTAACGAAGAGAAAATGCAAATATGCTAATCATAAGAGACAAGGGTGTTCCTCTGAGCTTTTTGGCAATGAGGCAAAAAAAAGAAAAAAAAAAAAAAA